TTTTATTAAGCCATCGAGGAAAATTGTTCTTAGGTGTATTTCCAGGTTTTTTGTGCGTGTAATTTTTTTTTTTTTTTCAAATTTTAAAGTATCCACATAAATGACTTTATCGTTGATACTCTTTTCTTACTATTTTGTTCGTCTTGAATGATCTCCGTCGAGAATCCAATGTCTTACTATAATTCTATCGGAATTTCAACATAATTTATTAACTTATTCATCTGAGGTGACTCGGCCAACACATTCTATTCACACAGTAGTCTAGCTGACTGATTAACATATATACTATTTTATGTGAATTTGGACGTGTAACATTTCAAAAATAATATGCCATATTTAATGGTATAAACTTTTAATAACTTATATATAAATTAATTATTTCATATCCCAATTTAATTGTGATCGATTTTCTTTTTTCTGGAAGAACTATTTCAAATTCTTCAGCTCCTAAACAAATTGATTTTTAGAATAGTGAAGTGGCCAAATCAAGTCAACTTAAAATATTAATTAATAAAAAGAATTATATACACAGTAGCCTACAGGTAGGTGACTAGATATAAAGCAATTGGACAATTATAAAGAGCCATCAATGGCGGGGCAACCGTAGCCGGTGAAGGAGTTTTAGTCTTGGAAGAAAGGAATTTGACAATATTCTATGGCATGTATCAAGGATAAAGATTTTGTTTTATTAAGATCTATTTCCATTTTTTATTTTTATTTTTGCATCGTGGGTGATGGGCGTGGGGGGCCCGTGGGGGTTGATGGGGTAGGGGTAAGATGGAATCACTCTAGAAACCTTATAATTGCTCGTACTTTTTTCTACGACTCAGGTATTCGAGTTTCGCCCAACTAATTCTGAGGAGTGGCGGCTTTCTCCCTTGTTTCACCACCCAAGTAAATCCGAAAGAGGTCACATCTTATACATACTTGGACCGGACATTCGGGAAGTGGTTCTCTTTCCTGTAGACCTCCATTTACGACGTAAGGACAGGACCATCGGAGGGACGATAAAGCGCATCATAACTCTGCCACTAGAAGACATCTGCATTCCAACATAAATGTTGTCTTCCAATTGTCGTGGGGATTTGGACATCCAATACTCCGTAGAGAACCCTCTTATTTTACTATTGTTCCATCTGCATGAGGTGTTTCTTGTGACACTTCGGGACAGAGACAGATCCAAGACCGCACTACCGGCCAGACTAATATGTAGAAAATGGGTGTGTTTGATGGATATTATTGAGAAATGAATGTATTTTAAATAGTTATATGATGAAAAATATGTGGTCAAAAGGTAAAGAAAAATTATTGATGTGATGGAAAATATTATTTTATTGAAAAATGTGTGATTGAAAATGAGTTTTGAAATGATGTGTACCAAATGGGGGCTAAATATGTACAAAAAAAATCACAATTTTTTTTTTATAACACTAAAAAAAATTTAATGGGTCAGGTACTGGACCGACTGTCCCCCTAAATTCGTCCATGCTTCGAGGCATCAAAAGCATTTTCACTTAATAAATAAAGAGAAATTTGATACTCAGGATTATTGTCATATTTAATAAGTCTACATATGTGAAGGATGGTTATGTTGCCCTCACATTTTAATTATAATTAAGCCCCTCAATCTTTGTTTATTGTAGTAATTATTTCTTTAATTTTTTTTATCGAATTCTTATTTTCGACCTTTCATTAATTAGTACTCTCGTCCCTGATTATGATTTATATCAAACTGTTTTGTTTTCATCATTTAAGATGAGGGGAATTTTTTTTATTTTTGCACTTTTATTTATTTATTTTTTAAAAATATGATGAAAAATAAGTTGTTCAGGACATAAGTGTTATAGTGGGCAAAGATTAAGAATTTTAAGTATAATTAAGAAGTGGTGCAAAAAATAAAAATTGTGGTGTGAATATAATTACCCGTACGTAAAAACTCTTTTTTAGCACTAAATCTGCTCATATAGCTTCAATTAATACATAATATAATATGTTTTGGAGATAATTATTCCTTATTTTATTTTGGCTGATTATATTCCTTTAATCATTAAATCTCTAAAGTGATTCCTCATCTAGACTCTTACATTACATTTAGTGTTTCCAAGTATCTTAACCCACACTTTAATTGCTGAGAATATTTAAGACATAATTAAATTGTAGATTCAAAAGTTGTTCTAATATTTATGGATAGCAACAAGACATTATTCCATCGCAAAAAATAAAAACTAAAACTACAATTTCTCTTATTTTCCCTATTATTTATGATATTGATTGCCCTACCTAAATTCGATCTCACCTCATCCAAGAATAATACGAAATGTATAAAAGACTGTATTATATAATTATGAGCTTGTTCGGGAGAGCTTAAAATCCAATTAAAATTGAAAATATAGCCGTTATTGGGTCTCAGTCGTCTAATAAAAGTCAATAATAACGACTAATTTTTCAATTTTAATCTGATTTTAATCTCTACCAAACAAGCTAATGAACGTGTTCGGTAGAGATTAAAATTGGAAAACTAGTCGTTATTGTTGACTTTTATTAGACGAGTGAGATTCAATAACGGCTATATTTTCAATTTTAATTGGATTTTAAGCTTGCCCAAACATGCTCAATATGTCGTGTAAAAGGAATCATTATATGAAATCATAAGGTGACAACAAAATGACAAATTAAAAAAAAAAAACATTAACATATAAGTATTGTTCCCTACTGCATAAGACCTAGGAGACAAATATGTATTATAATAAGATTAATAATAGAATTATCATAGTCGACAAGTGCATGCATTTGCAGCAACAAGTTAAATATTTTGTCACATAAACACGTGATGGGAATGTCACAGTTCAAGATTTTCTTTTCTTTTTATTTAATTATTATTTTATTTAACGGGCAAAATATAAATAATAACTTTAGCAAGATCAAATTAATGGGTTGTTGTTTGTATTAATCGTTTCTTTAAAAGTACGTTTATCACTAATTTGGTGGCGTCAACTGCCGGTGACAACGCGTGGAATAAAAATATTAAAATCCATTAATTAAGCAAGTGGTGATTTTTTTGGTGATTGCAATTAATATTAGGCGCGGTTGGATTGCTCTTTCTTTTTTATGGAAGATGAAAATTAAAATTTATTTTCACATTTTTGCGTGTTTGATTGACTAAATTTTTCATAAAATTGGTTTTCCATATTTTCTTGGTTTTTGAGGAAAAGTTTTTCTAGGCAGTTTTTTTTTTTTTTTTTTTGCAATTGAAATAAATTATATCCCTTTAATGGACAATTTTCATGAAAAATAAAGCCGAACGAACACCAAAAGATCCAAAATTTCAATATTTTTCAGGTGAAAAATTATACTAATCAAATGCAATTAATTGACAATTCTCAATAAAACAAATTCAAGGCAATTCAATTCAAATCCCTAAAATTCATTTTATTTTCACCCAAATTTCATTTTTGCAATTAAACGGACCTTAGATACTTGAAAGAGGAATGCCATTAAATGGTAACTTTCTTTCAACTCGAGTTTACAATAAATTTAAATAATTAAATTAGGAACTTAATTTTATAACTAACAATTATTTAATTCAACTTCTTCCGGCCTGAGTTTATCGTAAATTTAAGTAATTAAATTAGGAACTTAATTTTATAAGTAACAATTTTATATAACTTAATTTCTTCCATCTTGAGTTTATAATTTAGTAAGTAAAAACTTAGGAAGTTAATTAATTTTATAAGTAACCATTATTTAATTCAACTTCTTCCAGCCTGAGTTTATTGTAAATTTTAAGTAAATAAATTAGGAACTTAAATTTATAAGTAACTAGCTATTATATTTCTTCTTTTTCATTGCTTTTATGGTAAGTTTTTGCTCAATTTCTGCATGGAATCCTAAATTTATCCACACAAACTTACCTTTCCTTTTATGAACAAAACTATAACAGGACCACACAAATTACACACTTCAATTATTGGATTCTCAGAAAATTATGAAGAATTTACAATTTTTCCTTTAGCGAAAAAAGAATAAATTGCCCAAAAAGGAAACAAGAATGAAGAACCATACAATTGATTTAAATCTGTCTGGAAATATATTACTAAATGGGATATATTCTTTAATTCTACTTTCCCTAATACTAACACCTCAATTAATCCCCAATTCATTGCTCTAATTGGCATAAGTTCCTAGTGCATTTTATTGAGTTTCAATATTGCAACTTAAAGGATTAATTTTGATAAAAAGAACAACTCAAATTTATTTATTTTTGTTGACGCAGGAACCAGCTGCCGCTACCCGTCAACGGAGGTTCGATCACCGTGAGTGCACACTAAGTAAACACCGCTCCATGTGCAGAACCCGCAAATCATACAAGAGAGATAAACCGTACTAAACAAGTTCGGTGCGACAAGCTCGATCGAAGAAGTGTTGGCAGGAGATTAGAATCCGCAGCCGCTACCCTCAAACCACATTGATTATTGTTTTTTATATTATGTAGTGGTGGTTCATTTGAGATCAATAATCTCAAAATTCAACATCTCGTTTTAACAATAGACGAATCGAACTTTGATATCATTGTTGAATATTAAAAGTCTATTTTTATTAACTAATTTTATTAAAAGGTGTAACACTAAGTCCTCATGTATCGAATTATACCATTTTGACACATTTTCTATTGTGGAAATTTAGCAGCAAAGAGAAGTGAGAAAGTCAAAAATTCCGCGAGACAAGTTTTTCGGAGGAAAAAAAGAAGCAAAAACAAAACCAAAAATAAGTCACTTTGAACACACAGAACACCCAGTTTTAAGTATTAATTGCGGCTCTCCCACATCTCTCCTTTTTCCACCATTTTCAAACCTCTCTCTCTCTCTATATAAACCCTCACCTTCTCTACCTTCTTGTATTAACCTCTTTCTGCACAAAACTCTCTCTCTAAAATCTCTCCAATTCTTTGTTACCTTTTTGTATCAATCGATCAGTTTCTCTATTAAAAGAAACCAATAAAGATGGATATTTATCATGGTGAATTAGATGGTGCAAATTACAACGATCAAATTAGTGAAGAAGAAATGGAGCTTAGGAGAGGTCCATGGACTTTCGATGAAGACCGTGCTCTCATGAATTACATCTCCCAACATGGTGAAGGGCGTTGGAATTCACTCGCTCAATCTGCAGGTAATTTCATTTATCTGAAAAAGCAGTTTTTAAGCACGACTGAACATTTAGATTGGTTTTGCGAACTGAATATATACTTATAGCTATATATGTATAGATATGATCAAGAATAATTATGAGGAGAAAATGTTTATTTCTTTACTTTATGAATATATTTTATTTGAATAGTTCATTGGCCGTACAGAATGAGCATAAAAAAAAGTCTTGGGATCGTCCAATAAGAGTTGTATATAGAGGCTAAAGGAAAAGGCAGAAGCTATAAAGTTATTAAAGGAGGGCTTAAGATAGTTCTGAGAAATTTACCAAAAAAAAAAATTGTTGGCTAATGAATGTTCATTGGCACAGGTCTAAAGAGAACTGGAAAGAGCTGCAGGTTAAGATGGCTGAACTATTTACGCCCCGATGTTCGACGAGGAAATATCACTCTTGAAGAACAACTTCTGATTCTTGAACTCCATTCTCGATGGGGCAATCGGTAAGTTATTCTATAAATTATGTTCGAGACGAGATTTAAGTAAATATACACGGTTTAATTGATTTTGAACAATCGATGTTACAGGTGGTCAAAAATTGCTCAATATTTGCCTGGTAGAACTGATAATGAGATCAAGAACTATTGGAGAACACGAGTACAAAAACATGCTAAACAGCTCAAATGTGATGTGAACAGCAAGAGATTCAAGGACACCATGCGTTATCTATGGATGCCAAGATTAGTTGAGAGAATTCAGGCAGCCGCTGCCGCTGCCGGTGGCAGGGACGGATGCGGTGTTTCCTCCACCACCACCCAATACAAACTCAACAGCCATAACATTTCCAGTATCGACAACATGGGCCCAAGCCAAAAGGTGCTGCCAGTGCCACAGCCTAACAACAGTAACATGGTTGGGAATTATGGCGGTGGTATTGTTCCAGTTAACACAAACGCCACCAGCTACACGGCGGAGAATTCTAGCACCGCCGCCTCATCTGACTCATTTGGCACCCCAGTTTCAGACCTCACGGATTGTTACAATTATCCAGTTAATCAGAACACTAATCAAGATTACTGTCCTGCTAATCAGCTAGCCTATGGAGAAACCTTAACCAGCCCCACTGGTTACTTTAACCAAGGGTTAGATTTCACAGTTATGGAGCAAAACAATCAATGGATGGATGAAGGGAACATATACGACAATTTGTGGGATGTTGATGACATGTTTTTCTTACAACAGCAATTCAACACCAATTTTTAAGGAACAAGTCAAAATGTTTAATCCTCAGTTGTAGAAATATAAGAAGTCATCAAATCATCAAAAAGAAAATTGGTTTTAGGTCACATATAGAATTAATTAGTGGATTTGATGTTTTGCATTAATTCTTATTTGGTTTTTTCAGTTTCTTATTTAATTTGTGGGGGGGTAAAAATAAATTGTAATTCGAGGGTTTTTTATATAATTCTTTGAGATTGACAATAGTTTGAGTATCGGTCTCTTTTATTGTATATTTGGTGAAAGAAATGCGCGTAATCATCTGACTAGTAATTAATAAATCGAATAAACTACTCTTAACTCTGTGTTTTCCTAATATATTTACGTTTTACTTTTTATTTATTGTTCGCAATAATACGAAATAGGAGTTTAATGCACTTATTTTTTTAGTGGATATTATGCATAATTGATTCCACTATATATGTCTTTGTTGCTTGCCTATTTAATCTGTGGAATTTTTGAAACATAGACTATGGGGCCTGAACCAGATTATTATTATTAACAAAAGACTACCTTTTTGTAGATCTAGATTAGGGGAAATAAAGACATGCTATATTTTCTAAATATTATACTATTAAAGTTTATTTTAAAGTCTTCCATTAGTGTGATCTTATCATGTTATAGAAATGCCAATTGAGTGGCTTGCGATGTTACACAATATTCAATTTGGGTTTTTGATTTATTTGTTCTTTTGAGTTGAGCCCATATAACTAGACAAATTCAAGAATTGTCTCTCTTTTTTTTTTTTTTTTTTTTTTTTAATGCACTTGAATTATGCTACTATCAAATTCAATTTACATGTGATACACGTGTTATACGTTCAACATACTGAGTATTAAAATTTTATTACATTTTTTCGTATTGAAACGTTGTGGGATTTCTACCCTTGACATGTACAAAAATTATTAATATCCCTACTGATATATTGATCATAAATCATCTATATATCAAGACTTATTTCGTAACTTTAAGATAGTTCGGTAGTTGATTAAAAATTTATTAGAAATTTTAATGAGAAAAGAGAAAATTGTTTCATTTGTTGGGACCATAAGCATTAATCAGCAGTCCACAGTAAATAACTAAAATATTCCTTTTCAGAAGTTGGGAAATAAGAGTCCGTTTGACTACCGTTTTAGTAGAAAAAAGAGTTTTGTTAGACCCCGTTCGGGAGGGCTTAAAATCCAATGAAAATTGGAAATATGGCCGTTATTGGGTCCCACCCGTCTAATAAAGTCAACAATAACAACTATATTTTCAATTTTAATCTGATTTTAATCCCTCCCAAACAAGCTCTTAATGTTTTTGTCCCAATTTGTCAGACAAACTTTTGGACATCCAAGACCCTTGTCCCTAGAACTTTGGAGGAGGTAAATAGCGGGATATGCCTCAACTGGTTTCCAAGTTCCACTCACCAACAATAAAAAAAAAAATTTGGAATACGTGTAGAATATTTTAATGTGTGATTGAAAATTATCCTGTAGAAAATTATAAAATAAATTAAAGAATGTCAAACATGTACAATATACGTACAATTGAAGAAAGCGATGAAATAATCACAAGCAAAATAGAAAATACGTACAATATACGTCTAAATAATTATATACACTTAGATGTGCATAAAAAGAGAGGGGGTGGGTGGGGGTCTGGCGGCGGGAATCTTTGTACGCCGCGTGCCTCATAGAGAAGCCACCAAAAGTGGTCCCCAAAAGTAAGGGTCCCACGTGTACAAATATTATAATAAAATAATATTATTTTTTATTAGGCTTCCTTCACTTGAGAGCCGCAAGCAAATCCACCCTATAAAATTCTGTGACAGCCACGTAACTCTATCATCTGTGGACTATGGTTTGCTTAATTACGTGGGGGATTAGATTAAGGAACACAATTAGGACATGTTTGGATTCAGTTTAAACTTTTTTTTTCCTTGTTCCGTTTAATTAATTCTCTCGATTCAATCTTAAAAGTATTGACTTTTTTAAAAGTAAATGAAACTCTTATGCGGATTCGAGTCCTGTTTCCATCATTAAAAATTGTATAGTCATTAAATTAGATCTTAATGGATTCGATCTCTGTCTCCTTCGTTGGATAGGGTCAACGACTAGAAATTATTGAAAATTAGGGAAACAGTTGAATTATACACGGAAAGAATGTATGTATCTACAATGTACCTACCAATTAATGTAGAGTACAACTGGATTCCACCGAAATTCCGAAGGCTGAATTTCTTTCAGCCACGTTGAATTTTTCCTGATCCTGTGCGGTGGGGGTAGCTGGATGGGCAAGTTTCAAATATTTGATCTACATTGAGAACTTTTGAATAGTGCCACGTGGTGGTTGATTATAGATGTTGCTTCAATTGAGTGGGACCCATAAATGTGATTTGATGGAGGATTGATTTGGCATCTGAAAAGTTGCTGTCAATCAAATCTATTTTGGTAACTAGAAAAGGTGGGGTTTTAATGATTCTAAGGGGCCACACAAATATCAAATGTACTGTTTATATTGTGGGGTTGTGCCATGGTTCGAGCCCAATCGAGCCGATCCGAGTTAGCTAATACTTGCAAGGAAAATATTGTTTCGATTCGATTTGACGGATTTATAGTCTTTGTCGACGAAATTTTTAAGTTTTATTTTTACACGAAAATATGACCAGAGAGACCCGTTTAATAGAAGTTAGTAGAGAAGGAATCGTAAAAGTAATTGTATTGACATTTTTGTCAACCCATAAATCTATATCTTATTATCTTAACTTCTAATAAATTATTTAGTATGTAGTACTGAATACCGATAAATAGAATAACAAACTAAAGTAATCAATTTTTTACCTACTTTCAAGCAAATGTCAGAGAAAATAAGTTTGCTATTTCATTCTATATTAACTATAATTAATGTTGACTTTCTTGATTATTTGCAATTAGGGATGATGTTTTATATAGTATAGTGTTTAAGAAAAAGATTGAGAAGTTGATGTGATGAAAATATGTCGATGAAGATTACTCCAATGTTCACTTTGCAAAGCTATCGTGTCCTACTATTAGTAGGAATTCTAGGACATATCAAGTTTTGGGTTAATTACCCCAATAGTCACTGAACTTTACCGAAAGTTTCCACCGTGTCACTGAACTTTAAAAACTACGTGGTTAGTCGCTGAACTTTCGAAACTGCAACCTCATCAATCACTGAACTTTAAAAATCACCACATTAGTCATTGAACTTTGCAAAAGTTCTATGGAGTCACTGAACTTTGCAAAAAGTTTCCCATATGGTCACTGAATCAGTGATCATCTGGGAAACTTTTTGTAAAGTTCAGTGATGAATGAGGTGATTTTTAAAGTTCAGTTATGGATGTAGTTGCAGCTTCGAAAATTTACTGACTAACCACGTAGTTTTTAAAGTTCGGTGATCTAGTGGAAACTTTCGGTAAAGTTCAGTGACTATTGGGATAATTAACCCTCAAGTTTTTGTTTGAAAGTAGTTAATATTTGAGTTGCTTGTAGAGTATTCTCTAAATTTCGTGAATCAATTGTGTTTTCTTAAGTCAATACTAGGTGGTTTAATTGGAATTAGCTATATGCGTCAAGACATTTTACAGTGTCTTGAACCTGAACCTAGTATGCACATGTTGATAATTTTTGTTTGACGTTAGAGTTAAGGATTCAATGAATATAGACTTTATATCTCTATATAGAAGTCTTAATTAGGTATACGTGGAGGACATTGCACCAAATAAGGAAATCAAGATTGTTTTTGTGTGAAATTGCAAAATGAGTCGACCAAGTTCAAGAATTTTCAGTTAATGGAGATATTCTAAAAACTGACCTAATTCATCTGTTTGGGTCTTCTCGATATGGGTGATCTTGGCATAATCCCACAATTTGGGTTAGACACTTTGGACAAGAAAAACATAAATTGGAAAAGAGTTTTCACTTAGTTTTGATCATGTTGACTTACTTCTCCGTTCTTATATTTGAAATCTATAATTTAAGGGGATCTGTTTAAAATGATTCATTTATCGAGTATACACTATGTTTTTGTCTTTTAGGCCACCTCCACTTTCACGCAAAGTTAAAGCTTGCATTTGGGTGAGTTTCGCAAAAGACACAAACGTCAGAGATCATTCTACAAAAAAGAACGGTGAATTGGCAGAAGATAAAGACCGACTCTCTATTCTGATTAGCGCACGTGGATTCAAATGCATTTGAGAGTGTTATAAGATCAAATTCATGCGATTAGTTCCATTCTCGATTTGGTATAGATAAAGAAAGGAGACTTTTTGCTACCATTCTATCCAAATTATTGTCTTGTTTAAATAATTGGTAAGGGAGTCGTTTAGTTTGCAATTCCAAGTTGTTGTCTTTAATATTATGGTGCCTAACCTTAAATTGTACAAATTAAGTCTAGCTGGTATACGCAAATTTAAGCTCTTAACCACGCTAAATTCGGAAATAATTAATTTCTTATATTTTCCAAAAAAAGTTTGGTTGGTAACATTTAATCTAAGCAAAGTTTGAAATTCAATTACGAATAATATAAATAGTTTGGGGCAATGCATTCATTGACTCCTCATCGAACAATTGGTCAAAATCGTAAAATCAATTTAATTTTCTAATGCGATTTTCCTTAATTAATCCTAGAAGTACTTAACAAAAATAAAGTCAAAGTCGTGTCTGCATTCCAAAGCCTCCCCACGTACATTAATTAGAGTCAAAGGCCAAAAATCTTCTTGTTTAATCGTAGTCAACAGTTTCAATTAGTGGATGGTTCAACAGCACAATCAGGAAAATGGAAATAAATAATAAGGAAAGATTTCACTTTGGGTCCTCGATCTATTAATTCTATAATAAGTTGGTCCTCAACCTTTAAAACGAGCGAGTACTTGCCGCAACCTTTTGCTATAATTACATAATTAGTCATCAAGGACGTGAACGACCCAAATTTCTAAATCAAAATGCATTCTCTTCATAAAAGTTCTAATTTGATTCAAC